AGAGCCTGATGGAACCACTGAGACTATGGCCCCTAGCTGCCCTTCAGGTCTGGAATTGAACCCACACCTGTGGTTTCCAGCCAAACAATGTACAGGCATGTGAGTTAAACATTTAGCTCAAGTAGACACACGCCCTGGAGAGAACAATCATGGGAGAAGGAAGGGCTGCTTATACACAGGGAGAAAGCTCAGGGCGCAGAAGAGTATGGAGGGAGGGTCACTGGGAAGAGGTAACTATGGGGAGGAAATGGAAGGGGAACTGTTGCATTGTGGTAAACTGTGGTCAATGACATGAGACAAAGTATATGTGAACTGCTGTATGGAAAGTGAATTTGCTCTTCACCCAAATCACAATTAAAAAAAAAGAAAGGGGTATTAAAAAAATTAGTTTAAATAAATGTCTTATTTTCCTTTTTAATTCAGTTTTCTGGTGAATTTGGAGTAAGACAGGAAACGAATATGATTAAGTTGCTGGAAAAGCAGTACCAAGAACGATTAGAAGAGGAAGTAGCTAAGGTAAGTTTATCCTTTATCCTGAAGATTATCATTGTTTATGGTTCACATGAGACTTCATAAAACAGATTTTTTTCATGGCAGTATACTTTATTTTTCATTTCAAATTTCACACATAGCCCATCTTTAAGTTGTCAGATACGGTAACAACTGTAGTTCCTTTACATGGAATTTTCTGTGTATTTTTCTTTCAGAAAGTATTCCTCTCTTGATGTAGAATAATAGAAACTTTTCAGAATACAAAGATAAGCTTTTATGTTTTATATATTTGTTACTTTGTGAATAAGATTGAAGGAGTTTGGCCTTTTTTAAAGGGATTTGGGGTGGGGAAGGTAGGAAATGAGAGAAGGTGGCTAGCGCTCCATAAATTATCTGTGCCTTGTCCCACCCATAGACGTTACTGTGGTATTAGACAACGTCTGCAGGAAGTAGGGGAGGATTACCATTGAAAATTATCTCCTGGCTAGGCCCAGGAGTTTATCATATGGGTTTTACTCATTTCTATATCTTAACTTCTATGCACAGAGTCATTCTTTGGTGCTCTTAAATATCAGCCATATCATGCAGTCTACTGTTAGGGCATGGTTTCTTTTCTCTTTATTTCCCTTTTAAAATGCAGTGGATTGTTAGGTTAGAACAGTTGAAATACTCTAAAAAGGAAGTATTTAAAAAAGGAAAGATTGATTGGATATATAGAAAATACATGAAGAATTAGGGAAAAAACAAATCAGATGAGGAGTTCCAGATCAAAGGGAGTATGCAGGCCATATGGATTTATTGGAAGGACCCCAGGTGGTGCAGTAGTTAAGTGCTAGGATGTTAACTGAAGGGTAAGTGGTTCAAACCCCCCAGCTGCTCTGCAGGAGAAAAATGTGGCAGTCTGCTTCTGTAAGGATTTATGGCCTTGGAAACCCTGTACGGGCAGTTCTGTTCTGTCCTATTGGGTCACTGTGAGTTGGGATTGAATTCAGTACAAAGGGTTTTTTAATGGATTTTTCATTTATTGTGGCTGAGCTGAGGATTTAGCTCTGTAGCTTCCTGGAGATCGAAGTAAAAGTGAGGTGGCATCATTTTTGTATAGCTCTCATTTTCTAGATCTTCAGATGAGTCTGAGTTTTCTCTTGCACCTAGCTCTTGCACAGAAATCTCAAATGGAATGTTACAGCAAGATATCATAGTATAGTGATTATAAGAACATTAGGTTTGATACAGGATATACCATACTTTGGCATAGCACAAAGTAGCAGGCCGGAAGAGCAGGAGAAAGGGGTAAAACCCAGGGAGCCAAAGAGAAGAGCAATCAGCCGAAGGGATTAGGTGAGGAGGGGAAACTCGGGGATGCCCAAAGAAGCAGGCCAGA